CTTCCCTTCAAGAGTTTGCCATCGAGGAATTGGCCTCCAAGGTTGACGTGCCGCGCTTCGATGGGGAGGAAGCAGAAATACCTGGATAGCCAGGTCGGTTGCTTTATGCGGTGGAAGGCATCTTTGACATCAGATAGTCCGATGTGCAACGGAGGGAGCTCAGTCTCAGTAAAAGATGAGTCGATGTGTGCGCCGGCCTCCTCGTCCACCGTCTCGAAGCGCGAGAAGCTCTCGGCAGTGCAAAGCTGAACTCCTGGCGCGTCTTTGAAGCGGCGATTTGCCGCTCGGGCATCGACTATAAGTCGAGTCTTCGCCCCTCCGGACTTCCACACGAAAAACAGCCCTGCATGTTCCTTAGGATAGAGCGTGTATTTCAGGTACTTGATGTCATCCAGGCGTTTTATGAGCTTGCGATAGTTTCGGGCATTGTTTCGCAAAGAAGGTTCCCAATACGGGTGGAAATTGGGATCCAGCTGGGGATTGTCATGCAACATGCGCTCTTGCTCCTTCAGAAAACGACAGTCCTCCTCGCCGAGAAGAGATTCAGCATCAGGGCATCCCTCCAAGGAAGCCGGCAAGGATATGAGGTCGAGCTTGAAGGGCGCCAAAGTAGTGGGGCCGTCTGCGCTGTACTCAGAGCGGCCCTTGAGCAGCTCCTGTAGGGCTGCCTCTCCGGAAGAACCCTGCGCTGCAAGGGGCTCGTAGGACGTAAAGAAGAGGCCTCGAAATCGCCACAATGCATCCAATTAAGAGCTGAGATCATTTCCCCCAGCTCGAAATGAATTCGCTTCTGCCGATCCCACCGCTGCTGCCCTCGACGATTTCCGGGAAACCTAGCGCCGAGAGCTGCAGGGCGTGGCAAGGGGAAGATTTTGCAAGCTGAGGTGCCCACCCAGGCGGGCCCCGGGCCTGTGGCCTCCAGGACAGCACCGGCCCCCGCGCTGCCCGGCCACTTTGACCTCATGAGGCCGCCGCCGGCGCCTCCAGGCCACGTCCTCTGCCACCTGGGCGACGTCGACCACCGGGAGCGCCAGCGGGAAGAGCACCTTCTGCGACTGCGCCTGCTGCTTCTGCATCGGCGGTGGGCTGACCCGCCCTGCGCAACTCCTTCATTCGTGTCCTCGCATTGAAGAGATCAAGTTCTTCCTTTCCCTTGCGCGCCGCCCAGCTTTTCAGCTGCGGTGCGACCACATCCTCCGGAGACTGGTAGCATGTGAAGATCTTTGCGTTCCCCCAGTCGGGCGAACTGCCCGCCGCGCCACTGTAGGCGTCGACAATCGACTGGATCCTCCTTGAAAGTGTTTCCATGGAGGCCAGAGAAGCCAAGTTCAAGCAGTCGATCGAACCCCCATGCTGCAGGGCTTCGCAAAG